ACTACAACAACATAATAATTTATCCATTCATCTTTTTAGAAAGAAAGAAATTAAGGCTCAATAAATCATTTGCCCAAGTTATTAAGCTGCAAAGCCAGGACTCCTACCCACAGAGCAGGTTGGCATAAATAGTTGAATGAATAGTGATTACATCTCTCTAATTTGTAAGGCCAAAGAATTCCTTTACCGCAATTCCAGCTCACTCTCAACAAGCCAAGAAATTACCAGATGTTTGTTTAGGTTATCCTTAAAGTTCCTCCAACTTTGAGATTCCATGATTGTAAAATCTCCAGGAAACCATACAACTATTTACTGACCTTTATATGTTAACAATGATATTTTTTAGTGTTTTTAATCTAATAATAATACTTAAAAATTAACAAAAACATTTCCTGAAACAACTGGATATCCATATCATAACTGAGTACTACCCTACAATTTTGGTGGCCAAGTTTATGGTTTGTGTGTGTACTGTATGATAAAATAAAGAAAAGAAGGCACTAGAATAGGCAAGCTGGATTCAAAATAATCACTACAAGAGTACCTTATCAGGTGTACTAGGTAAACCTCTTCTTTAACACAGAACTTACTAAGTATATTAGCTGGTAGTATAGTGACAAATATGCAATTACCTTTGTTTCTATTCCCAATTCCAATACCCATTTAACAAATTTCAAAAACTGTAATGCAAATCTTTTAAGAAAATAAGTTTCACTGAGAGTTCACAGAATATACAATTCACCCATTTTAAAGAGTACTATTAGATTGTCTTTGTCTTTAGTATATTCACAGTTGTGTAACCATACCACAAATTTACATTTTGATCACCCAAAAAGATACCCCGAAGTCACTTCCCATTTTCATGTTGTCTTTACTATGAGTTTAAAGGGATTCCATACAAGCATTCCTATAAGCAGATAGTAAGTACTGAATAAATATTTGTATATGAATGAATGACCTTTCTTCTGAACTCCAAATCTTCATTTCTAACTGCTTGATGGGTATTTCTATATATAATTCCAACAGCATCTCAAACCTAACAATATACAAAATCCAGATTATCATCTCCCCTAAACTTGTTCTTCCTGTTATTATCTATTTCAATTATTGCCCAATTTTCTTCCTACTCAGCTGCAAATTCTAGATCTTTAATAATAATCTCACATTCTCTATATTTAAATAATCCCAGTAATTCTGAGTCCCCCAAATTTATTCCTACTGCAATGCCTTATTTAGTCTCTTTCAACTACACTATTAAATAGGCTTCTACCTGGTCACCTGGCCTTTAAAATTCCCCTTTCCAACCCATGTTTATGCAACCAATCCAGTTATCCTTCCAAAACACAAAAATGCTTATGTCAACCCCCTTTACTCAGTTGTATGCCTCAAAATAATGGTCAAACTCTAACGGTAAATCTCTTCATTTAGAGATAACCTCCCCACCCCCGCCAAAGCTAGAGACTGAGTAATTCACCCCCACACCCACCCCAAAGTTTGACATCTACTTGAATGCAAAGCTTAAACTAGAACTCAAATCTGACAGACAGCAAGTTTAGTTGCCTTTTATTCTACCTCACACTAAGATAATACAAAGAGGAATTTCTCACAGCCTAAACAACAACAAAAAAGCTGTCTTTATTTTAAAGTATTTCTTTTACTCTCTTTGCAAATATGCTGTGTTGACCCTGTTGCAAAGTGAGGAGTATATACGAATTCTTAATCCCCAAGTTAATATTTAACTTCCAAATGGTAACTAAGTCCTTTTCAGCGCCTCACGAGCAAGTTGAATAAACTTTAATAAACTATTGAGATTCTCTTGAGAAATGTCAGAGGATAAGTTCAACCGGCAAAACGCACACGGCTGTAAGTCAACAGCCAGCCTACGTGCCCGCCTGAACTGACATGCGAAAGAGAAACCGGAGGCCCAGTCCCTCCTGTCCACAGGCGACCCTAATCAGACACAGAAAGTAAGTGGACATAGAAAAGGAGAGGGTAGCTCTGGGCAGAAACATTCGGGGTAGAATCCCCTTGGCACACCTTTCCCCCATCACAAAGGCCTAAATCTAAGGCCCCAAGGTCCGCGGGCAGGCCCCGAGTGCGGGTGCAGTCCGGGAGCCCCCCGCTCCAAGAACTCGCTGACTCCGATTTTCTCGGGACTGTCTTGTTCCCGTGTCCCTAACTCTAAACGGAAGCAAAGAAGCCAAAACATCGCCCCCCAAACCGCGAGGGGAAGGGCCGAGGCCGCAGGGCTTCAGACCGTCCACTTCTAGGATCGCCAGATCCGGGAGGGGTGTCCAGGGAGGAGAGTTTCCCTGTCCGCTCCAGGGACGAACTCGGCCCCAGGCCTCTAGGAGCCTGTAGGGGCTCCCTCTCGTCGGGGACTACCGAGCCAAGCGAGTGCCGCCAGTCCCAACCTGAAGCTTACCTTTCCTCCGGGACAGGTTGCCGGCAGTCAATCGGTCCTGAATTCCGTCCACACAGAGTATCTTCCGGCTCCCGCCGGAAGCAGCTCGAGCGCGGGACAGGAAGTTTGGCCGCTCCCCGCCCCCGGCGCACACACGCCCACCCGTTTGGCTAGGAGCCGCGCTACTGCCACCCTTCCGAGGGCAGCAGATGAGGCTGACCCGGCTCCCAGCACAGGGCTAAGCTTCCAGCGGCGAAAGCCCAGCCCTCAGTTTCCCATTCTCTCTGGCCTTCAGGGCTTCTAGACCCGCGAAGCCCTAAAACCAGGTCAGTGTATTCTAGCCATGACGTCACTACCAACCCGCAGCTATGGAGGAGTTCCCCCCGCCAGCTTAGGATCTACAATAGAGGGAAACGAGAAGATTGCTCCTTAAGCATTTGCCAAAGCTCTCAGTGAAGAGGCCCTTGAATCTTCACCACCCGAGAAGGAAACTTGTAGAATGAAGTTCTGCTGTGCATATGGGACGGGGAATTGAGTCTCCTGTAGAATTTTTTTAGAGATTGTTAATTTCCCTAGAGGCTGGGTTGCAAATATTTTTAGTACGTAAAGAGCTCTTGGATGTCCTGATTGGATGTCACCACTTTATTAGAACTTTGATTTGACTGACTTCTTAAAATTACTAATTTTTTGAATATTCACTGCCATGCGGAAGAATAAAAAACAACTAAAATAGTGACTGTGGAAATTAAAGGAGTTCTCTTTAAAAAGGTATTTCAAGGTAAAAGATAAACCAGGCACATATAAATGGGTGAATGATATCTTTAGGCACACGATGTTCCAAGGAAATATAATTCCTCTTTTTGGATAAGCAGAGTTTGAAGTACCAACGGGATATTTACTTGAAGGTAAAGATCCAAAGCTCAAGTAAGAAGTCAGGAAAAGAAGTGTAGACTTGGGAGCTATCAGCATACAGAGAAGAGATAAAACCCCTCAGAAAAGAAAATGGTAGAGGAAAAATATATAAAAGAAGAGAAGACAACTGAAATTCACTGGAGTGAGTGTTTACCAACACAATTTGAATCTACTTTTACTAATTTCACATTCAAAAATACATTGGCAGCAGCGCAGCTACCCAATAAAGCTTAGGCAGGTGGAACCCAAGTTGGAGAGCTGCCTCTGCAATTTAGACCTCATCTCAGACAAAATAAAAAGGGCTGGGGATGTAGCTCAATGGTAAAGCACCCAGGGTTCAATTCCCAGTTAAATGTGTGTGTTTGTGTACACACTGGCAGTGTGTAAAACAGGTTACCATACACAGAAAAACATCTTCAATTTTATTGTTTCAAAGGGTTGGATACAATTAATAAAACAAACTTACTTAGAGGTGCATCAATATAGGTTTTGAACATTCATGATTACAACCATTGGTTAATTTTCCCAGTCAGTCCTGTTGTTTTCTGAAGCCGTCTCTGTTTTGATTTTGGTTGTTTTAGGTGTTCTTGTGCTGGGGACTGACCTCAAGGTCAAGCAGAGTTGTGCTACTGAGTTACACCCCCAAACCTCCTTGTTTAGTTATCTGAAATTCCCAGTAAGTTTATATCTACTTGCTCTCTAATCTTGACAACTATTTGTCAATATTTGCACACTAAACTAAGATTAACATATGCTTTTATCAATATATAAATTGGGTTTTTAGGGCTGGGGATGTGGCTCAATCGGTAGCGTGCTCGCCTGGCATGCATGCGGGGGTTCAATCCTCAGCACCACATACAAACAAAGATGTTGTGTCCCCCGAAAAAAAAAATAATAATAATAAACATTAAAATTCTCTCTCTCTCTTTAAAAAAAATTTAAAAAAAAAATAAAATAAATTGGGTTTTTAGACAGTATAGTGAATTATTTGGCAAAACATTAATAGATAATCCTTTGGATTAAATCCTGATCTCTGGGTCTCTCAAACCAAATAACTTCAGCCATTTATTTTCTCATATCACTCCCAACCCCAAACCTCTGTTTTCCTTTTGCAAAAACTGTTCCACAAGCTCTGAATCACACCCAACCAACCCTACCCTGCAGTCCTTACATACATATCATACCATTTAGTCCTGTTTCCACCTACAATATGGAAAGGCCATTCCAATTCTGTTCTTATTCCAAGTTTCAGTTTAAGAATCATGTGAAGTTTTTTTTCTCCAGTCCAACAAATGTTTACTACATGCCTCTCATTTCAAATAGAATACTTATTCTATTTTAAATAGACGTTATTTTTAAAAATTTATAAATTTGATGCATTAACAGTTGCATCAAATCTCCAGTAACTTCAGAATGTCTGATACAATTATGTCATACATGTTTTAACAAAAGAAAAATGGATGATTTTAATTTCAATATTATTTTAGGTAATGTTAGATGTAGAGTGCACACATGATATTAAGATATAAAAAAGAATTAAGTTATGTAAGAAAATATTCTTCTGATCACATTCAAATCAAGAGCTATCTGTACTTTTTTTTTTTACAATACCTTTATTTTATTTTATTGTGGTGATCAGGATTGAACCCAGTGCTTCACACATGTGAGGCAAGCGCTCCACCACCGAACTACAACCCCAGCCCCCTGTACTTTTTTTTTAAAAAAATTTTATCTTAAAAATCTTTGTGTAAGGTGGAAAGAAATATGTGTGATTTTTCTTGAAGATGACAATTATAGAGAAATATCTTTTGAAATACAAACTATCTGTTTTCCGATGTTACCCCCTGTCATCATGGACTGGAATGCAGCTGGAAAGAAAAAAATATATAGATTATCTGAAAAGATAAATGTTACCATGAAACTTGTTTATCAAGAGGTCAGACATAAAATTAGTTTGAATAACTTCTTCCAGGATTGTAATATTAAGCACAGAAGGAAACTGTCATGAAAAGAAAGGTCAAGTAGAAGTTAAAGAAAAACTAACCCAACTAACTGTTATTATACCTAAACTGAGTTTACATCAATGTTTAATGTATACAGAGTCTAAAGATTGGTGGAAAATAAATATGGGAATTAATTATCAGCAAAAACAATTTTTAAATAACTGTTAAAAATTTTAGAATTGTAATCAAAAAGTTTTTTAAATAAATAAATACAGTACACATTTCTTATGCCAAATGACTGGGTTTTATGTTTAGTATACATTAACAAAATGTATTAAAAATTTTTTCTGAAAAAGGAAAACATCAGTTTGATTTAACCCTTTTCAGTTAAATGAACAAATCAGAATATTTTTAATTTTTTTTTAATTTGTCTTTGTTGTTGTTGATGTATTTTTATTTGGTGCTGAGGATCAAACCCAGGGCCTCGAACGTGCAAGGCAGGTGCTCTACCACTGAGCTATAGCCCTAGCCCTAAATGAGAATATCTTAAATCTATGTATAGTGGGCAAAAGTTAAATATTGACAATTTGCTTAATATAAATTGCCCCAGAAGCAGCTAATCTGAAAAAGTAACCTAAAGCCTAAGTAATTTTCACAATCCTTACATTTTTTATAAACTATTTGAGATGTGATAACAATACCTCTTAAATACCACTAAGTTGAACTCACATAGATCTTGATTACAATACTTATGGAAACCTAGAGTATGGTTTTACAGGGAAGAAATAAATGATTAAAAAAGGAGGGGCGGAGGTTGTGGCTCAGTAGTAGAGTGCTTATGTGTGAAGCACTGGGTTCGATTCTCAGCACCACATATAAATAAATAAAGGTCCATTGACAACTAAAAGAAATATATTAAATAAATAAATAAGGAAAAAAACAACAGGTATGGTGGTGCACACCTGTGATCCCAGTGACTCAGGAGGCTGATGCAGTAAGATCATAAGTTAGAGACCAGCCACAGCATCTTAGTGAGATCCTCATCAATTTAGTGAGACCTTGTCTCAAAATAAAAAATAAAAAGGATTGGGGATATAGCTCTGCGGTAAAGTACCCCTGAATTCAATCCTCAATATTAAAAGAAAAAAAAACAGGCAAAGTGGTGTATGCCTATAATCCCAGCTACTCTGGAGACCAAAGCAGGAGGATCTCAAGTTTGAGGCTAGCCTGGGTAACTTAGTGAGACCTTGTCCCAACAGAAAAAAATGAAAATAGCTGGGGATGTGGCTCTGTGATAAGAGTGCCTCTGGGCTCAATTCTCAGTACTGTAAAAAAGAAAGAAAAAAATCTGTTCTGGGGATGTAGCTCAGTGATATAGGACTTGCCTAGCAGGCATAAGACCCTGATCCGTAGCTTTGTCAAAAAAAGAAAGAGAAGGAAAACAACCAACCAAAACACAGTTAATATTGATTCAGCCTAGCAAAACTAAAAATTAAGAAAAAAAGAAAAGGGGGAGGAGACACCTGAGAAGTAGCATTAAAAGAAAAAAGAATATTTTTGCTGAGCACATGTATATAATAAATAAATACATTCGTCTTACCTCCCATGTTTTCCAATCCATTTATCACAGTCTCCTTGATCTGTAAATTAAAATAGTAGTTTTAGTATTCTTTAAAAAATTATTTTGTGATAATGGGGATAAGCCCTTTTTATTTTGAGATGGTCTTGCTAAGTCGCTGAGGCTGGCCTTGATTGCAGTTCTCCTGCCTCAACCTCCTAAGTAGCTGAGATAAATTATAAGTACCCGCCACTATACCCAGCTATACATCCTCTTCTCAAAATATACACACACACACTCATAACTGCCAATCATTTGTGGGTTTCAAGAACATCAAGAGAACAAGGTCAGGATCTCTGAATCCCAAATTAAAAATTTCTGATTTTCAGCCAACAACTAAGAAAGACATCAGAGTATCCATGGAGAGTAGGTGAGGACACTAGGATGTGCTTATATGACTTTCTTGGAAAGGAGTCTCCAATACATGGTAGAATTCCATAAATATTTTTGAATATTACTAATTTATATTTTGGGAAAACTATTGATTTTTTATATAATCCACAGAAAGTGAAACAGTAAATTTTATATAAAGTTAATAATAAGAGGGTTTCTTCACAGTTAGGAGTTTACAATCATCAGCAAGGTAAAGGATATTTAGTACACATTTCTTTTGTAGGAATTTTTTATAATGAAACAAACATGTTTGAGGTTAGGTGCAGTGGTGCATGCCATAATCCCAGCTTTTGGTATGCAAGATAAAGGAAAAAATGTTTGCTATAATATAATTTAAATAATACAAAAGTATATCAAGTAGCAGGAAGAATTATAATGATAAAAAATAGAAGTACTACCTTTAGCTTTCCTTCTTTAAACCACTGACTCAGTTGAAGAATGCCAGGCTCAAATTTATCCTTATAATTTAACACCAGAAATCTTTCCCTGTAGGGGAGAAGAAAAGGATAATGATCAGAGAACAAGACAGGAGTGAGAGTTCAAGATGAAACCATTCCAGAACTCTAGTAAATCTGTTAATCCTTAAAATATTAGAATTAATCACACTGAGTTTGGTCAGACATAATTTTAGGTGTATTTACAAATGTAAGTATACTAAACTTCTACTGTTTATGTCTGCTCAGCATCTACAACTCCATTTAGCAACAGTTCTGTGATTTTTTTCTTTGTAGATATCTTCCTTTCCCCATCCTCTCTTGACTTAACCCAGCTCAGTCAAATCCAGTAAGTATGAGTTTTCAAGGAGCTAATTAACCAAAACCTAACTATTAAACTAGCTTAAAAATAGAGAGCATTAATTTCAAGGATATATAAAGAATTCAAAAAACTCCAAAAAAAAAAAAAAACCCAAATAACCCAATCAATAAATGGGCTAACGAATTGAACAGACACTTCACAGAAGAAGAAATACAATCAATTGACAAATATATGAAAAAATGTTCAATATCTCTAACAATTAGAGAAATGAAAATCAAAACTACTCTAAGATTTCATCTCACTCCAGTCAGAATGGCAATTATCAAGAATACAAGTAATAATAAATGTTGGCAATGATGTGGGGAAAAAGGCATACTCATACATTGCTGGGATTGGAAATTGGTGTAATCATTATGGAAAGCAGTATGGAGATTCCTCAGAAAACTTGGTATGGAACCACCATTTGACCTACCTATCCCACTCCTCAGTTTATACCCAAAGGACTTAAAATCAGCCTACTACGTTGATAAAGCCACATCAATGTTTATAGTGGCTCAACATACAATAGCTAAACTATGTAACCAACATAGGTGTCCTTCAACAGATGAATGGATAAAGAAAATGTGGTATACATATGTAATGGAATATTATTCAGCCTTAAAGAAGAATAAAATTATGGCATTTGCCGGTAAATGGATGTAACTGGAGAATATCATGCTAAGTGAAATAAGCCAGTCCCCCAAAACAAAGGCAGAATGTTTTCTCTGATATGCACATGCTAATTCCCAATAAAGGGTGGACTAGGTAGAGGGAGTGAAGGGAGGGGAGGGGTTTAGGTATTGGAAGGATAGTAGAATGTATTTGATATTATTACCTATGTACATATATGACTACATGACCAGTGATTCTACATCATGCACAACCAGAAGAATGAGAAATTATACTCCATTTATGTAAAAATATACATATATATATATATATATATGAATTTTATTTATTAAGGAAAAACTATATTGAATAACAATATATTTCATATACATTCCCCCTTGAATCTGAATCTGGTAATAAGGGCAAAGACAGAGGACATACCTTGTGATGTTTCTTTCCTTCTGGATTGCTTCTATCGCAGGGGGCAGTGGAGGAGGATATGGCACATCTTTATTGTACTGAGAAATTTGACCACACAGGATGATGTGGCTGTTCTGATTCATCTGCACAGAAAAATTTTTGATGGTTACCTCCTTAGACACCTTTCCTATTTATTGATTTTACGTTTGCCTAAATGAAAACCTGCTTGACCACTATATTTAATCTTCTACTGCCAATTTAGTTTGCTTTGAAGATTTATATATTATATGTATTTAAAAGTTTTAATTAGCTAGCAACAAATTCACCCCAAAGGAATATAAAGGCAAATGAAAATTTTTTAAATTTTTTATTAGCTACACATGACATTACAATGATCTTGGCCAAATTTCTTAATCAGCAAAAGAATTATATTAGTTGTCATTGTCACTACATTTATTAGTAGCAGTATTGTATTTCTTTGCATTTAAATAATGTAACCTAAGCTGCAAATAATGGACTATGCACTGTTGATAGCTCATATTGATACTTTACAACATTTTTAATAAAGAAAATCATAAATACCCACAATTTATGAAAACCTATTTCCTCAAAGTTAGGGGGATGACTGTGACTTGGTCAATGGCAAGTTAGAGGTCAGAACTTCACAATTTCATTTAAAAAATGCAACTGTAATTTTTCACAAAAATTAATTTAAAGTGAAAATATAATACTGCTAGGCAAGAACTGAAACAGATGAATCACAGTAAATCTATTAGCATATGAAAGGAGATATCAGCAAGCTCTCATATCACTTAAATAAGGATCATCACATTTCTAACAGTAAACTCTACAATTTTATGAAGTTTTTTCCCCCTCGTAACACATAAAAAAAAATCACAACAAATAAAATGCAGTATTCAACTTTATAACATAAATTGGCAAACAACCTGACTTATCACTGTATCGCTGATGTCACCACCAACATTATCAAAGTAAACGTCCACTCCAGCTGGGCATGATTCTCGGAGTTGTTCTGCCACATTCCCTTTTTTATAATTAATTGCAGCATCAAAGCCCAGTTCTGAGGTCAAAATGAGGCATTTCTCTTGTGTTCCACAAATTCCCACCACTCTGGAACAGCCCAGCAAATGGCCAATCTAGGAGGAATATTTTGAAAATTAAATGGTTTTATATTGTCATGTTTGTTGTAAAAAGGTGAAAGTATACAAGATATTTTAAGTTTATGGGAGAGTTCATCACAATTGAGGTTAGATTACACTGCTTTTAACAAAAAGAAACTAATAGAACTGAGGGCAGAAAATGTCATCCTTTAAAATAAATAAATTGAATAAAATCAATCTCAGTTTAAAATTCACAGTTTAAATCTGATTTTATAAATGGAATACTCAGACTTAAAACATCACTACCTTACAATTCAATATTTTTCAGGACTGTGAGGAACTAAAAATCACACCTAAAATAAAATATTTTGTCTTAATGGTTTCCTATAAAACAATGAACTTAACCGAATTCTATCAAAAGATTTACTTTATTTCTGGAACTCAATATGTTTTCTTACCTGAGGGTTTTTAAAAATATCGGTTCTTTTTTTTTTTTTTGGTACCAATGATTGAACCTAGGGCCTATTATATGATTTTTTAGCATGAGCTCTGCCACTGAGCTACACCCTCAGCCCCTCATTTATCTTTAGTTTGTGAAATTCCAGGGGGGTCTCTATGATTCTTATCCTTGCATGGATGACAGCAATCCTCTAGCATTTACCATATCTATTCTTGGTTAATAAAGATTGAGACAAAAACCTACAATATACATCATATTGTTGTTAAGAGAGTTTAATGGGTGATAACATCATTTCTACCAGAAATGTGTGAAATAATCATTTAAATTTGTTCACATTCATATTTTAAATTATATACATATATCCAGAAGTTCGATTATGACAACTTTTTTTAAAAAGTTAAATAATTCTCAGGACGTTTACCTGCCCAGCCAAGGATCCACAGGCACCTGCTGCTCCACTGACAACCATTGTCTGATTAGATCCAGCAGTTACATGACCTTTTTCCTGTACTCCAATTAAGGAAGTCAAGCCAGGCATACCTATAGCTCCAAGAAAATATGAAAGGTGTCCATCTACAAGCTGTAGGTCTACCTAAAATAAAGTATATAGCATTTTAACATAATATTAGAAATTCCTGTTTTAAGACAAAGTAGAGATTGTTATGCAATAAATTGTGTGCCCCCTGCCTATGTAACTGTATCAAAGATAAGGCCTTTAAGATGCTATGTAAGGTTAAATGAGATTACAAAACTGGGACTCTAAGCCAGACGTGGTGGAGCATGCCTATAATCCCTAAGGTTTAGGAGGCTGCTATAGGAGAATCTGGAGTTCAAAGCCCACCTCAGCAGAAGCACAGAAGCTCCATTAGACTCTGTCTCTAAATAAAATACAAAATAGGGCTGGGGATGTGGCTTAGTGGTCCAGTACCCCTGAGTTCAATCCCCAGTACCCACCCTCAAAAAAAAGAATGGGACTCTAATCCAATAGGATCTGTGCCCTTAGAATAAATGTAAGAAATACAACCACTGCCTACCCCAGACAAAGACCACTAGAGGACACAGTAAGAAGTTATCTACCTGCAAGCCAGGAAGAGAGACCTTACCAGAAATGAAAATTTCCAGAAACTTGATCTTGGATTTCTAGTCTCCAGAATAGAACATTAATCTCTGTTGTTTAAAGCCACCAACCTATAGTATTTTATTGTGGCAGTCCAAGCAAACTAATAATTTCAGTATGGTTTCTGAATTTAGCCAGACCCTGCCTCAAACTATTCTTCAGTCTTGCTAAAATTCTATATATTTGTAAAGAGTTGGGAAAAAAACCAAAATTCTCTATAAAATTTTTTTTTAAAAAACCCTTTTTTGACCAATCAAAGCCAACCCAAGCAACAAAGCAAGACACCCACTTCAACAACAACAAAAATAAACCTCAAACTCCCCAACTATTTTTTTCTTTCCTTTTTTTTTTTTTTTTTTGTGTGTGTATGTGCGTGTGTGTATGGTACTGGGGATTGAACCCAGGAATATTCTGCCACCAAGCTACACTCTCAGTTCTTCTTATTGAGACAGGGTCTTCCTAAATTTCACAGGTGCTAGGATTACAGGCATATGCCATGGTGCTTGGCTATAATAATTTTCACTACTGATGGTTAATATGTACCATAAAAATGTAAGGAAGGGGACTGGGGTGCAGCTTAGTGATAGAGCACAAGTGCAAGTCCCTGAGTTTAATCCCTAGCACCAAAAACCCAAAAAAGGGAGATACGATACAATTTATTTTAGTTTAATTACAGAATAAATTGAGCCTATTTCAATTTGGTGTTTTATGTTTATATGCTGACTAGGTGCTACCAATAATTACATTGCTCTTTTTCTGTCTATATTCTTATCTATAAAATTAGAGGGAATTGAAACAATATACAGAAGGACTCTCTACAATACAGGTTTATGACAATTTTTAAATATATATGTATTTTAGTTATACATGGACATGATACCTTTATTTATTTATTTGTTTGTTTGTTTATTTATTTTTATGTGGTGCTGAGGATCAAACTCAATGCCTCACATGTGCTAGGCAAGTGCTCTACCACTGCACTACAACCCCAGCCTTTATGATAATTTTTAAGGAATGGATAATTTTGGTAAAAATTTAACAAACCACCAATAACCTTAGCTTATTTGTAGTTCAATTATGATGATTAAAATGTGCTAGGCAATACCATGCCTATAATGCTGGCTCTTTGGGAGGGTGAAGCAGGCCGATCACAAGTTCAAGGCCAGCCTGGGCAATTTAGCTAGACCCTGCCTCAAAAGAAAAAAGAAAAAAGGGCTGAGGATGCTCAGTGGGAGGGTACCTGCCTAGCATGCATAATGCCCTGGGTTCAACCCCCAGGAATGAGAGAGATGAGGCCTGCAATACATAGGAATATCTATAGTACACAGAAATAGTTCATGTATGCAATAGTGATTTACTGATAAAGCCAGTATCAAAACACTGTGAGATAAATTTGTGTTCAGCAAATACCATTTTTCTTTCCCTTCTAAATTACCTTCTTCATTTCCAATACCTATTCCCAAAGCATTTGCAAGCTGCCCTCAATTGCTCAATTTCCCACTACAGCACTCTGAGAAAAAGAGTTTCTTTACACCTCACATGAAAACCTACTGACAGCATAGTTGCTTTTTTTTTTCCCTCCAACACTATAGAGTTCTCACCAGCTATGCAACCTATCATTTGATTCATTTCAATTCTGACACTATGTACCTGGCATTATGTTGGATTCCAGAAGTTATAGTTTTAGTACCATAAAACTGCTCCTACTCCAGAAGCCAATTTCAGGGCCAGGTCTGCTAAACCTTTTTTTTTTTTTTTTTTTTAATGGTATTGGAGATTGAATCCAGGGGTCCTATACCTCTGAGCTACATCCTTAACTCTTTTTATTTTTAACTTTGAGACAGGGTCTCACTAAATTGCTAAGATTGGCCTAGAACTTATGATTATCCTGCCTCAGCTTCCAAAGCAGCTAGAATTATAGGCAGCACCACTGTGCTCTGCAAATTCCAAGATTTTTGAGATCATTTAGTCAGGAACTGGGGATAAAAGCCAAATATACTTATTATAGCATAAGCATATTGATAGGCTGAATATTCCTTTTTATTTCCTACTAAGAAATTTCTAGTTAGATCTATTGTATTAGAACCATTAAGATTACAAATAATTGTGTAAAGTCACTCATATAGCACTCATATCTTAGCCTCTTTTAATTTAACCTAAAATGAGATAGAAATTTATGGACAGAGAACACTGAGACTCTAAAGGAAAAATATCTCTATTACATACAGAACAAACAACTTGTAGACAACTCATAAGCTGGACAAAGAAAAATAAGGGACAGAAAAGGACCAGAAGATAAGGCTGCACTAAACAGCTCATAAATTACTTTGTAACTTTCCAATTCCCTGTAGTTTTCTGGAATGTAGCAAAATGAGAATAGAAAGGCAATAGACAAAAGAACATTAACCTAGTGTGGCTAGAGGCTAACATTTGATTGCTCTGGGCGAATCACCTAACTACCTGAGATGCTGCTGTTTAGCTGAAACCTACACATCAGACCCCCTAATGAGAAAACACAATCTTACTCAGTATTTCCCAATCCTGAGGAAGTCCAGCCCCTTGGGATCATACATATTGCACATAATTAGGTACTATAATAAAAGCCTGACCTCAAGTCCTGGTAGTGCATCTCACTTTTTAGATTGCCCACACTCTGCTTTAAGAATATATATGCTCCCATTATAATAAATCTTTCACTCTGCTACTCATACCTGATAGGGCCTTAAATTATTTTCTGCAATATGGTCAAGAACCTTTTTTGGATAATGATGTCCATCACAATCCACAAACCTCAAAGTCCAAGTAGAGGTCTCTACCTCTGAAAAGACCTCCTTGTACTTCCACATGGGGACAAAATGGGTGATAGACTCACATTTATTTAGGAATAACAAGGGACTGCAATCCAGGATGTACATGCATGTGCATATCCAGGGAGGCAAAGGAAGGCAAGAGTTTTTAAAGGTAAAATGAAGAAGTGACATTAGTTGTTTTGAAACAATTATTCTTCATTACAAGGATTAATAAGGGTGGCATCAGTCCATTACCAGAACAGGAAGTTGATAGGAAAGCAAGATGGTTGTTTTGAGGGCCTATCCTTCATGGATTTCCAGCTCCATTTGTTAGGGTTTCACATAAGTGTTTCCATTTTGGTATTTTTCACACAATGGTTAAGAATTTGTAATAACAAGCCAGGTGCAGTGACCACTCCTGAAATGCCAGCTATTCAGGAGGCTGAGGCAGAAGGATCTAGACTAGTCTGGGCAACTTAGTAAGACACTGTCTCAAATTTATTTTCAATTTTTAAAAAGTGGGGGCTGGGCAATAAGGAAAGCAGTATGGAGATTCCTTGGAAAACTGGGAATGGAATGGAACCACCATTTGACCCAGCTCTCCCTCTCCTCAGTCTATACCCAAAGGACTTAAAAACAGCATACTACAGGGACACATCCACATCGGTGTTTATAGCAGCACAATTCACAATAGCTAAACTGTGGAACCAACCTAAATGCCCTTCAGTTGATGAATGGATTAAAAATGTGGCATATATATACACAATGGAATATTACTCAACAATAAAAGAGAATAAAATAATGTATGGCATTTGCAGGTAAATGGATGCAGTTGGAGAAGATAATGCTATGTGAAGTTAGCCAATCCCAAAAAAACAAATGGCAAATGTTTTCTCTGATATAAGGTGACTGACTCATAGTGGGGTAGGGAGAGGGAATATGGGAGGAATAGACGAACTCTAGATAGGGCAGAGGGGTGGGAGGGCAGGGAAGGGGGCAGGGGGTTAGCAATGATGGTGGAATGTGATGGACATCATTATCCAAAGTACATCTATGAAGACATGAATTGGTGTGAACATACTTTATATACAAACAGAGATATGAAAAATTGTGTATATGTGTAATAAGAATTGTGGGGCTGGGGTTGTGGCTCAGCGGTAGAGTGCTTGCCTAGCACATGCGAGCAGTGCAAATGATTCTTGTCCATAGAAATGTGTGAGGCACTGGATTCGATCCTCAGCACCACATAAAAATAAATAAACAAAATAAAGATATTGTGTAGAACTAAAAATAAATATTAAAAAAAGAATTTTGATGCATTCCACTGTCATGTATTTAAAAAATAAAAGCAGTTAAAAAAAAAAAGTGGGGCTGGGGATGTAGATCAGTGGTAGAGCACTTGTCTAATATCCACAAGGCCCTAGGTTCAATCCCCAGTCAGTGGGGAAAAAAGAAAAAAGAAAAAAATATTTGTAATAATAAAAAATATTTGAATATTATAAAGCTTCTTACAAAACTTTTATCATATTATCATAATGTTCACTTATGATAACTATTACTTTCATTTTGCCCATGAGGAGACTGAAATATAAAGACATAAAGTTCCTTGATAACGGATAAATTATGCTGAATTACATGAAGCTACATTTTTGTAGTCAAAACAAATATTGATAATCTCACAAGTTTTAGCCTAAAAATGAACTGAAATCAAGATTTCTGATGTGAAATGGAATATCAATCGGGCTGGGGATGTGGCTCAAGCGGTGGCACGCTCGCCTGGCATGCGTGTGGCCCAGGTTCGATCCTCAGCACCACATACAAACAAAGATGTTGTGTCCGCCAAAAACTAAAAAATAAATATTAAAAATTCTCTCTCTCTCTACCGCTCTCTCTCTCTCTCGCTCTCTCTTTAAAAAAAAAAAAAAAAGAAATGGAATATCAATCATAAAGCAAGTGTGTTTCATAGGTGGCTATTTCTCAGGAAACTTCAAAGTATATAATTATAGGAGGAATTTTAATTCTTAATATAAAATATTTTTGATGCTTATAGCTCAGGTTTTATATTATATATATAATTTGAGAAATAAATATGGAAAATTACAACATTCTCTGGTAATCTACGAATTGTCACATACAGTCCCAGCCAATAGTGGAAAAGGAATAAAAGCTTTCCACAACTGGCAGTAAGCTAAAAGAAAAAAACATGTATGCTTTTATTTTTTACCTGATAACAAATGAACTGAATAACAAATGTAGAAAATGAGCATTATTGGGAGGGAGGGGGATCAGATATTTTTATACTATACATCACCTTTTCAAGGCTATTTCCATCCAGAATAGCCTTGGTTTGCCAGGGCCAATAGAAAGAAGTCACAAAGTCACCTTTAGTCAAATTTGTGTGCTTGCTTAATTCTATAATTCCAACACCTCCACCATCCACCACCTGAGACAGCTGCCAAGGTGCTATATAATCAGTACCAGTGTCTTCATTCATCCTACAACGCTGAAAAAAAGAAGGCATTAATTAAGATAATTCTGTTAAATAATATTGAGCCAGAGTTTACTAATTTACCCAATGACTAAAGGTATGTGATAAGTAATATTTAATAAAGTGTTAGTCAAATAAATAAAAATAATATGTATTAATTTTCCCTTCATTTTGGTTATTTTTTATTTTGAAAAAAAAATGCACTTCTTCAATACACATAAGAGTGTAATTAAAAAGGCTTTTAAGTATGTTCTAAAACTAGATCATAATAATCAAAACAGCATGGCACCTGCATATAAAAGACAGGTACACTGACAAATGGAACAGAATACAGAGTCCAGAAAGAAATCCATGCATTATGAATACACGACTAGTGTAACTCCACATCATGTACAATCACAAGAATGAGAAGTTACACTCCTTGTATGAATAATCTGTCAAAATACATTCTATTGTCATATACAACTAAAAAGAACAAATAATTTTTTTTAAATCCATGCATTTACAATTGATTTGGGGAGGGGGGTACTGGGAATTGAACGCAAGGGCACTTTACCACTGAGCTATATCCCAAGTCCTTTTTATTTTTTAATTTGAGACAGGATTTCACTAAGTTACTGAGGCTGGCCTCAAACTTGTGATTCTCCTGTCTCAGCCTCCTGAGTCACTGGGATTATAGGCATGTGCTACCATGCCTGGCTATAATTGATTTTTGACAAAAATGCCAACAATACACAATGGGAAAAATAATACTTCAATAAATGATATTGGAGAAAATGAAAAATCCACATGCAGAAGAATGAAATTAGACTTACCCTATATACAAAAATCAATTCAAAATGAATTTAAAAATTAAGCGTAAGATGTGAAATAAACCAAGCATGATGGCACATACCTGTAATCTCAGCTACTTGGAGGCTGAGGCCAGAGGATACCCAAGTTTGAGGCCAGCCTCGGCAACTGAGTGACACCTGTCTCAAAATAAAAAAGCTGGGGGAGGGGCTGGGGTTGTGGCTCAGCAGTAGAACGCTCACCTAGCACGTGTAAGACACTGGGTTTGATCCTCAGCACCACATAATAAATAAATAAAATTAGATTATAGTATTAATTGTGAAACTCTAAAATACTAAAAATCATTGACAAATGAAACTGAATAACAAATGTAGAAAATGAGCATTATTGGGAGGTGTACACTTTTAATACTTTAAGTATGATATGTCAATTGTATTTCAATAAAACTTTAAAAAAATAAGGAAATTTAAGTAGTAGTACATGCATTGTGGTAGCAAAAGTAATACAAAATACTGTTTTGATTCTTTCAATGGACTATGGCATTTTAGATACACTTAAATGATTTTTTTAAACTGTTTACTTTGTATGGAAGCAAACTAGCAACATATGTGTAACATTGTCCCCTCTTTTGGGAATTGTCCTTGGCAAAGTAACTTTAGCTTCCTTTCCTTTGCCTGTACTAAATTCTAAAGAAAATCCACACCTAAATGATTAAGATGTTGCCTGCTAAATAATTTTTCTTTGGATTTATAAAACCCAAAACATCTGGTTAACTTCAGATTATATTGGAATATGGAACTCTCCTCCTTATTCTTTAGTTTGGTGCATCAACTAACACAAAGCAGGTACATTTGCAGTAAGGTTAAGCCTGCTGTTTATCTAAAGAAACTAGACCCATTAAGTCAAGGTTGTTTTATTGGTTTGGTTGGCTGGTTTTGGTTTTGGTTTTGTCAAGGGTGATTTTGATGTTCTGGCCAAAGTAGAGCAGTGCGGGGTGGGGGTGGGGGCCAGTGAGCAAACACACACCCTTGTTGATAAAGACCCCACCCAACATGCAGTATTCATGTACATTATCCCACTTTTCCTCCCCCTTTCCCCATAAGTCCTTTTGTGTACTTGAGTTCCCTAAGATCTTTTTTGTGGGGATAGGATAGGTCCCCCCCCTTTCATGGTGCTAGCTTTTGAGTACACCTGATTTCTTTCCCACCAAATCTCAGCTCCCAAGTATTGGCTTTTGAGTGTCAAGCAGATGGACTTGGGCATGACTTGGGCATGATAACATATACAGACCATTAACTCTTCATTTCTTTTGGCCTAGCAATTCTGCCTCCTCCACACAAATAACCTAAAAGAAACAATTTGTATACAATTGTTTCTAACAACTTCAGACCAGGCACTTTTCCAACATTATGTTCACCATCCTCATATGGATGGCCTTTTAATCCACAAAGGATGAAATGTTACAGTGGGACCACATTCTGTCACGGTGGGGGTAAAAATTCCTCTGGTAAGCAGTTAAGACTCTTCCTCTTTGTGGCTCACTCTGTCTCTCAACTGAGGTATATAATGTTGAGGCCCACAGTGTGGCCAGGAGATGGTAAATATGGAAGGCTGCTTGAATAAGGGGCCCCATGTGGTATAGTTCAGTTCATCAGGGGAAAAGACCAAATACAGAATTCACACAGAAGTCTCTATACAATAAAATATACTTCTGCTTGCATGTTACCTCTTATGTATTTCTGGAAAACAGGTACAATAATCACAGGACACTGGTTAGACAAAGGGGCTGACACGGCTAATAGAAAAATTTGAGGGAAAAACAGTGTTTATCCTACTCTCACTTGCTGACTAGATAGGACAGGAGATTAAGACATTAGCAATGGGCTCCATAAAGGATTCTCTAAATGTAAAGATCATCCCATGAAATTAATCTATAGAAACATTCCAAACATTTCAGCCAACTCCTTTATCCACTAGTGTAGGAAAAGGGGAGTAGGATGGACCTGAGTGAAAGCTACACATTCAGGGACTAAAAGGACACAATCAGAAGGTCATAGGCATTTTTCTAATACCTGGTTAACACAGATAGTGATCAACGTCTCTACCCAGTAGCTATATAAGCCCCTAGACTAGTACACTTCAGTGGCAACCTGCTATGGTATGGGTTCCCCTCTCACCTGGCGAGAGCTTTTTCTTTTCTTCTCATGTGACTAAATAAATTCTACTCTTTCACTCTCATTCTCTGTTGTCCATAGATTTCATTCTTCAAATTCACAAGACAAGACCCTGGAAAGAAGTTGCTGGCAGGTTGCTAGGGTCTGGGGTCTGCAATACTAAGCTGGCGCAGCCTGCTATGGAGAGCTGTAACCCAGCCAGATCCCATTCATGATGCTGAAAACTCCAGCCCTGCCTGCTGAGACCAGCCACTGACACTGGCGGGCACCTGCTGCTGTGAATAACTGTGCCTCTGCCATAGAGGACTGTGACCCCACCTGCAACTGCAGCAACAGAGACAGAGAATCTGGTGTCATCTCTAACTCCAGTTTCATTACTACTGTAAGCAACATCTAATACCATACAATTTCCCCACCTAATAACTAAGCAGTCTGCAGGGGCATCAGCTAGGTGTCTTAATTCAATTCAATTCTGATATTATCTAGCTGGAAACAGTGTCAGGTCCCATAATTTTAAGGGCTCAGTCCCACAAAACTGCTCCACACTTCAGATACCAATCTCAGGCCTTAGATTGTGGCCTAGGCCTCTGATCAACCAGCTGTAAGTCAGGGTTCCAACAACTTTCTCCTTGGGTTTGATTAATTTTCTAAAGTGGTTCACAGAATTCATAGAAAAACTTCATTTGCATTTACCCGTTTATTATAAAGGTTATTATACAAAACAGCTAAATTAAAGAGATACATGAGCCAAGGCATATGGGAAGTGAAATATAGCACTTCCATGCCCTCTCTGAATGTGCTACCATCCAAGAATTCCACATGTTCAGCTATGTGGAAGCTCCCTAAACCTAGGCCTTTTGGGTTTTTATGCACATTTCACTGTATAAGCATGACTGATTAAATCATTAGCCAATGATGATCAACTTAATATTCAGTTCTGGGCAGTCCTCTACAAGGAGGTTGGGAGGTGGAAATAAAAGTTTCAAACCTCTAATCATGGGTCTGGAGTTGTAACTCAGTGGTAGAACACCTGCCTCATATGCATGAGGCACTGGCTATGATCCTTAGCACCACATAAAAATAAATAAATAAATATATTAGGTCCACCTGCAACTAAAAAAATATATTAAAAAAAAAAAACAAAAAACCTCTAATCATATGGTTGGTTCTTCTGGCAACTAGCCCCAACCCTAAGACTGTCTAGGAGCTGCTCCAGGCATCAAAATATGTATTAACATACAAAAAGACACATTGCTTTGGAAATTCCAAGGGTTTTAGGAGTTATGTACTAGTAAACTGAGAGGAAGATCAAGTATTTCAATATAAATCACAATATCACACAAGTAATTACTTATAGGTAAAAAACAAGTCAATACAATAGAACATCATGCAGCCAACAAAACTAGTTTTTAATATGGAGATGTGCATATACAGTCACTTAAACATACAAAAGCAAAGCCAAGTGTGCTACTACATGATTATAGTTCCAGGTACTTGGGAGGCTGAGGTGGGAGGAGGTCTGGAGTCCAAAATTTCTAGCCAGCCTGCTCAACATAGGGAAAGTCTGCCTTGAAAAGAGCGGTGGCGAAAGAGAGATTAGGGCTGGTGATACGGCTCAGTGACAAGGCACTTGCCTAGCATGCATAAGGCCCTGTGTGTGATCTTCAGTTTTGAGGAGGGAATAAAAAAAGAATATGAAAACAAAATTGTGTGTGTTTGTGTATGTCTTCACGTAAAATACTGTATACACAAGGTGATTAAAATTAACTATAAATTTGAGCCAGGTGCAGAGGCACAAATCTATAACCTAGGATGAAGCAGAATTCCTTGCATCCAGGAATTCAGGGCCAGCTCTGGTAACATATCAAGACTGCGTCTCTTTAAAACATAAATACCTGTATAAATCTGTAATCCCGGCTACTTGAGAAGCTGAGGCAGGAGAATACCAAGTTCAAGGGCAACTTAGCAAGATCCTGACTCAAAATAAAAAGGGCTAGGGATATAGCTGTGAGGTAGAACATTCCTAGGTTTAATCCCCAGTACCGCAAA